TCAGTCACAAGAACGTCGAATCTGAATCACTTGAAAAAAACATGGGGGTGCTTAACTTTTTTCCAGGTGTATATATGAAAACATGATTTTAATGTCACAAAAAATGTTATGTATGGATTTCAACACCTATCATTTTCTACTTTGTGGTATTGCCCTGTGACTTATGGTTGCAACTATTTATTCATCAAAGTGCCCCATTACGTTTTGCTCGAAATTGTCCGAGAGTGATTACACATACAAGATAAGGAAAAGTTTCTCATTTTATTCAAAACTTTGTGTGTTTACTTTATAATATTTTCGTTATATCTGATCTTGCAGTACCCATACTATGACTGATTATAATACAAAACAATTACAGTTCAAAATTCACAAAACAAATACTAAAATTAAATCAACTATAAAAAATTGTGTTTGAACTTTGTGAACAAATAATGATAATTACCTTTAAACTCTGGAAAGGTTCCAGGAATTCATTTGTGGCTGAAGAGTGGAAAGGGACAGGAGAAACTTCGACTTTTGTTAATGCACGTGGTTCTGAGTAGCACCACGTCATGCTTCCTTGATGCTCAGAAGGCTGCTTACTAAAGACTATTTCATGAGGCTGGGGTTCAAGTCCTGATCCTAGTGAAAACAGCTATATTTATTACCAAAAACAGAGATCCAGTACAATAAGTATATTGTAATAAAAACTTGAATGAAGATTATACATGCATGAAAAGAATAAAAATTTTCATTCACTATACTTTCAGCTGTCTAGTGGACATTATGAATATAAAAACATTTCAATGTTATGGCACGTCAAAGTGTTAACCTACTTTTTATTTTATCCAGCTGTAGTAGTTAAGAACAATTCAAATTTCAAATCGTTCCTCAAAAGTTAATTACAGGATCCTAAAACATAAAGTCCACCTAAACATATATTTTAAATATTATAATTTGTCACTAGAAATACACTTTTTCTCAAACTGTTTTCTGCATAAATCCATAAAGTACAAGATCCAGCCATGATCTAAGATGTCACTCACTTTTAACGATACAAAACTGCAGGTTTTAACAGGACACCTGAAACACGTGCACCTAGATTTCAACACTTCTCTTACATTCCATTGTGAATTTCTTCCTCCTTTTAAAATTTGAATAACTCCTGATTTTTTTTAGTCATTTTTTTTGACTTATTGATGTTTCAGTGACAAAAGTTCACCATCATTGTGGCTGATGAAATGAAAACGGTTGATTTTATTCCATCATACGTGTCACTCATTTCTCTTGTGTGTATTTGGTTTGAATTTTGTGCAAAGCTACATGAGGGCTATCTGTGCTAAACATCTCTAATTTGGCAGTGAAACTCTAGAGGAAAGGCAGCTACTCAACACCACCCACCGCCAACTCTTGGGTTACTCTTTTACTAACGAATAAGTGAGATTGACTGTCACATTATAATGCCCCAAGGTTGAAAGGGTGAGCATGTTTGGTGGGACAGGGATTCGAAACTGTGACCATCAGATTGCGAGTCAAACGTCCTAACCACCTGGCTATGCCAGGCCTTTTTGTGTGGAACACATTAGGCTTAGCTCTATTAATGTTGTTAAACCTCTTTTATTCTGTGCAGATTTCTACATTAATAGAGCATATTTCCAATTATTAGATGTATGGTTTAAGGAACTTTTATATCCCCTTTCATACATACTTAAACATCTAAACAACAGAAAACCTACATTCTCTACTACATGCCTTCAGAATAATTTTATTAAACTAAGACTGTTTATTACTGGACACACAATGTTGCCTTCTCTACTACATGCCTACAGAATAATTTTATTAAACTAAGACTGTTTATTACTAGACACACAATGTTGCCTTCTCTACTACATGCCTACAGAATAATTTTATTAAACTAATACTGTTTATTACTAGACACACAATGTTGCCTATTTGCTGTTAACATTTTTTTTATAGATGACTTAGACTGTTACATGATGAACAAACAAAGATGAAATGGGCAGCAACTGCCAAAATAAGTGAAGATGAAAGATAAAAGCCATTCTGAGCATTGTCCTTTCAATCTGTGCTACTTTGGTATACTGGTCCTCCAAGACTTTCTTCACAAGTTTCCTGCTAAACTAGGCAGTTGCTACCCATTTCACCTTGGTTTGTTGTCAATGTGTAATTTATTATTAGTTAACTTGATGTAGTTGGGTGAGGTTTTATATTACATAATATAATTATGTGAGGTAATCTGTTAGATCACGAGACTTGTAACCAACCTTATGTCAAAACCTACCTGTATCTTGTATGTATTGGAACACTCCTATCCTTAAGTCGTCACTGGAGGCCTGTGGATGGGAAAAACTCCCTTTCTCTTCCCTTTTTAATGGTTTTTGAGTTTTCTGTTGATCTTGTGATCTTTCTGACGATAACTGTAGAATGTAAAATCATGTTTTTGATGAGAACTAAAACCACCTATTTTAAATGTAGCAATTATAATGTTTCTCATGATGAATGTAGCAATTATTAACATTAACTTCTGAGAACAGTAAGCTACCCTCTTAGAACAAAACTAAGACATGAATCTGGTAGTAACTACACTTAATTAAGAATACTTTTCTAAAATTCTTACTATAAAGATTAGCATGCATTGTTTCATCAGTAAATCACATTTCTCACGATAATCATAATCACATGATATGAAAATGCCAGTAATACTGAAATGTAATTTACATGCATCAGTTCCATATGTATCTAATTCAAATATTACATGTCGACTAACAGAATTACTTTCAAGGCCAAAGGTCAACTCTTACAGTTGACAGTTACTTCAATGGTCAAAGATCAACTCTTACAGTTGACAGTTAATTCAA